AGACTATTTATTTATTTATTTATTTATTTATTTATTTATTTATTTATTTTACATGCATGAATGTTTTGCTTGCATGTAAGTGTACCATGTACATGAGGGGCCCACAGAGGTCAGAAGAAGGTGTTGGATCCCCTAGAACTGGAGGTACAGATAGTTGTAAGCCACCATCTGGGAACTGAATCCAGGTCCTCTGGAAGAGCAGCCTGTGCTTTTAAACACCAAGCCAGCTCTCTGGCCCCAATGCACAGGCTTTTAAAAGAATGTTTTATTATTTTTATTTTATGAGTATGAGTGTTTGCTTGCATGTATGTAAGTGCACCACATGTGTACAACTGAAGTTATGGACTATTGTTAGTTGCCATGTGGGTGCTGGGTTTTCTGGAAGAACAGTAAGTGTTTTTAACCACTGAGCCATCTCTCCAGCCCCCAATGCACAGGCTTTTGTGCTTGAAGAGTATTTAGTGCTAAACTGGGTGGGGATTACAGAATAGGCTGAGCCCCAAAATGGATTCTGGCTCTTTCATAAATAAACTTTTAGGGTTTGTTTTTTTTTTTTTGTCTTTTTGAGACAGGGTCTCCCTGTAGCGCCAGCTGTCCGGGAACTCACTATGTAGAACAGGCTGGCCTTGAACTCACAGAGATCCGCCTGCCTCTGCCTCCTGAGTGCTGGGATTAAAGGCGAGTGCCACCATGCCCAGCCTCATTTTTTTTTTAATTCATGACAGAGTTAGAAGGCGTTTTTCTGTCTCAGTTGACTATCCCCAGAAGAAAGTCCATTACTTTACATGACATTCAAGGTCATCACCCTGGTATCACATTTATCTGGTGCTTTTACTCAATGATCACAAAGCTCGTTACTCAAGAGCCATACCTGCTCTGGAGTGCCTAACTCAGAAACTCCAATATGAAGGACATTTGCCATGGAGGCACAAGGGAGAGCTTTGTAGAAGGAATTGAATGACAGCTGTGAGAGAGAAAGGAAGAGAGAAGGAAAAGTCTGAGTTCGCGCCTGCTGAGGTCACCCTGCACAGAAGCCGTCCCTCTGCCTCCAACTGTGAACCTCTGTGAGGTACAGAGTGGGCTGAGAGACCTTTGTGTTCTGACCTCCCTGTCCCCACAGGTTCAAGAAAAGGGCACCTATGACCTCCTCGCCCCACTGGCTCTGCTCTTCTATTCAACTGTCCTTTGTGTAAGTTCAAGTGGGCCGGGATCAGAGAGGGAGGAGAGGGGAGATTGGCCTCCATCAGGGACACAGCTCTCAGTTCTCTGAGAATAAACAGAGAAACTTTCCAAGTAATGACACTTGAAATGGGTTTCAGCTTTCTGATGCCTTCAGACCCACCATCTTCAGAAGCCTCTGGTCCCTTTACGTAGCTGCCATGGTGCCTGGCACCTCTGGGCTTCCATGGAGGAACTGCATTTCAAAGCATGTTCACGAGAGATTCTGTTGAGAGATTTTTATGTCCATCTCATTTTTCACCCCAGTGGTCAGTTTCATCTAGTGTGATCACTCTGATCATTAGACTAGGGATACCAGGTGACCCAAAGAATAAAAATATTTGCCTCTCCGGAGGATAATTTAAGCACTGAAGATTGTTCCTTAAAATGAGTTACAATAGTGGCCCCATTTAAGATGACATCCGAGGTGACAGCTTTTCAGAGCAGTTTTCTCAAGTGTTGGGTAAACTGTAATGTGTTCCATGAAACCAAGATGCTTACCATGAAGACAGACACCCTGAGTGTCATCGTCCCCATCTGCAATTCAGTTCTTACTGATCTTGTCCTGGGACATACTGCTCCCAGGAAATATATGTCCTTTGTGGAACATTCCAGAAAGGGAGCAGAAGCTGTCCTGGAATTTTAGCAGGCTCTGACCCATCTAGATCTCTGCTTACTGCCCCCTTTCCATCCCAGACACCACACTTTCCACCGGACTCAGATCTCCTTCTGAAGGCAGCCAGAACCTACCACTGCTTCCTGACCTGGCCAGTTCCCTACTGCAGCATCTGCCAGGAACTGCTCACCTTCATTGATGCCGAACTCAAGGCCCCAGGTAAGTGTTAAGAAGATTAGCACGAGGGTTGGGGATCACATGACTGGAAGAGTCTAGCCTTTCTAGAATAGTTCTTCAGCTACAAACCACCTCCTTACCTGGCCACCTTAGACTCATCTCTGTCCATATCCTGGTCACAACCTGGGAGTTTCCTCCTCATGCTGCACGTGGCATCAGTTTTCACCAGCTAAAGTAGTAAACATGAGTGGCAACTTGAGAAGGAACTGTTCAGGGAAGCTAGAGCAGGCGTTCAAGCAAGGGGACCCCATCACTTGGCCTGTGCCTCTGCTCTGAGTAGCTATGGGGTGTTTGAGGCTGTGCAGGTCACACAGAAAAGTCCCTAGAATAATCACAAGAGGCCCTTATTCTCTTTGCCTTGGGAACTCATAGACAGCTGCTTTCCCTGGGAGAGTGGCTGTGGCTAGGAGCAGTCAAGTTGGTGGCTGCCTTGACATGTGGGCAAAGACTTTGTACTTCAGAGTTTCTTGTATTTGGGATCTGAAAAGTAGCAGTTCTTGAGAATTTGCAAATGCTATCTTAAATAACATTTGTCTTGTGTGTGTATGTGTGTGTGAGTGTGTGTGTGTGTGTGTGTAGGGGGGGTGCACACGTGCATCTTGGTATGTATATGAAGGTCCAAGGATAACTTTTTCTACCATGTGGGTCCTGAGGATTGAACTCAGATCATCAGCCTTTGTGGCAAGCACCCTTATCCACTGAGCAATCTTGCCAACTGCAAATGCTGATTTAAAATGAGAAGGAAAGCTAAGAAAACTATAATAGATCAAGAAGAAAAATAACCAAGTCTGACTTCCTGAGAGGCTGCCCGCAGTAATTCATCACGTTTCTATTTCAAGGAATAAAGTCACACGACATCTCAATAGAGACCTCTACAACATTTGCTTAAATTCAACACCCTCTCTTGGTATTCAAAATTCCTCAATACATGGAAACTATTGTCATAGAAGTATTTTAAATATGGCATCAGCCCAGGTGAAATGCTAGAGGCATTTCCATTAAATTCAAGTATCTTTCTGGTTTTGCTTAAATATATTTTGCCTATGCAAAAAGAAAAAAATAAAGAATATTTCCTCATCTGGAAGAGATAATACTTTAATTATATAACACTCAAGCAATTGCTTATATAAGCCTATGAGAATTGCCTGAATGAATAACTCAGAACTAGAAGACAGGTGATTTAAACTTTCCCATATAGCAGCCCCAATCAGTAAGGAAGTACCCAGCACTCTAGAGTCAGAGGCAGAAGGATTGCCACAAGTATGAAGCCAACTTTGGCTACAGAGTGAGATCCTATTTCAGAGAGAGAGAGAGAGAGAGAGAGAGAGAGAGAGAAAGTAGGGGAAAACACAATTTATAGTAGGAATAGAAAAATATAAAATTAAAGGGGCTGGAGAGATGGCTCAGCAGTTAAGAGCACTGGCTGCTCTTAAGGAGGACCTGGATCTAGTTCCTAGCACCCACATGATGGTTAACAACCATCAGTAACTCTAGTTCCAGGAGATCTGACACCCCCTTCTGACCTCCACAGGCATCGCACAACCCAGGTACACTTAGATACATGCAGGCTAAACACACACGTAAAATAAAATTTAAAGTTTAAATTTTTTAAATGTAAAATAAGAAATATGAATAACCTACGTAGAAAAGTCAGGCTTTGCTGAAAGACAAACAATTGAAGAAATATATTGCTGAATTAAACCAATATCATAATAACATCAGGTATTATGAAAGTAAGTGTAGGCAGAATAGAAATAACAAGATCACTTAAAGATTGATTAACTGGGGACTAGAGAGATGGCTTAGCAGTTAAGAGCCTGGCTGCTCTTGCAAAGGACTCAGGTTCGATTCCCAGTACCCACAGCTAACAACTGTCCATAACTCTAGTTCCAGGGGAATCTGATGCCCTCCTCTGGCCTCTGCAGGCATTGCATGACATGGGTACACTTACATACATGCAGACAATATACTCATACACGAAAAGTCTAAAATAATGTATAAAATATTTTTAAACTAAAAACTAAAGCCTATTTGAAAGAATAAATATCTGCAGAAGCATTTATGTATTTACTATGTGTTTATTCATGTATTCTTAAAGAAGAGTAAGAGGAAATATGTGCATTACTAGGTCTTTGAAGGTGCTAAGGTTATTAAAATGATGTAAGACTAGGTAGATTAACAGACTAAATGACAACATCTAGAAACTACCTAAGTGTATAGAAGTTGTGAGATGGCAAAGATGCACCCTCAAAGCAGTAATGAAAGAATTCTGACATTTTATAAATGGTATCAGAATAATTGACAGATCATTTTTTTAATGAGTTAAAACTCTAACTAAAAAAATTGAAAATAAAATTCCATCTCAGACATAAAATAACTTGCAGATAGGTTAAAGGTTTGACTGTGCAAAACAAAACCATAAAAGCAGTAGAAGAAAAGCAGACGACCAGGACCCAGACTGGAGAAGGGCTGCCGAGCGTATTCACAAGGCAGCAGCAATAGGGACTTGTGAAAATTCGATTTTTGATTTATTTAAAAGTTTTTATACATATGAGTGTTTTGCCTGCATATATCTTAAGTGCATCCAATGCCCACAGAGGCCAGAAGAGGGTGTTCAATCCCCTGGAACTAGAGTTATGGATGGTTGTTTGCTGCCATATGGACCTTTCTTGGCTTCTGGCTATTGACTGGAGGCACAGCTTTTCTTTCCTTTTACAGTTTCAAGAGAAAGGATTCACGCTGCATACCTTGCTAGAACCTTCCCTGGATGCCAAAGAACCAAGGGACTCCCTTTTTTAAAAAAGTGGGTGAGAGAGATGCCAGATGGGGGAAGGATGTCACCTATGGGAGACCGCTTCCCAATTTCAAGTAGAACCAGCTGTCTGACCAGTGTTGGGTGCATGCTATGCCTCGAGATGTTTCTGTGTGTTGTTAGGCAGTACTATTCTTCTCAGCCCAGCAAACAGACATGGAGAGGCAGGCAGTGGTAAGGTCCAGACCCTGGGAATGATGGGATGCTAAGGCTGAACGACAAGAACCAGGGAGAGCAGCCATTGATGGTGGGAATGAAATTAGTACTTTGCTTCAAAGCAGGGAGGACCCAGAAGCCATAGCTCATTGCTGAGAACATTCTCCTTAACATTGTTCTGGGTCTATGTGAGGCCTCAGATATAGGACATGGGAGAAGGCAGATGCCTAGAGCAGGATTCTCTCACTGGGAGCTAGAAACATCTCTTTGAGGAAAGGCAGAACTGAAATAGGAAATCATGAACTCTCCTTGTGTCAGAGAATATTTTTCAAACAGCTCAGAAACTCCTGCAGGTGTATGCTGAGCTTGTGTTGGAGATATAATTCACTTGTTACTGATCAACAGCAAGGTGGTAGAGCTGGTTTTTAAAAAAGATAGGAGAAACTGATGTATATTTCTCACATAAGCTAAAATAAAATGACAGTAGATACAAAATTAGCCACTATGGTTTCAGTGATAGAGCCAGAGCCTTGGGGTTATCTTTTCTATGGAACAAAAATCATTTGTGACTTTTCTCATACCACAAGGTAATCTCTAATTGCACGGAACAAGTAGTGAGTTAAATAACATTACCTTCTTCTACAAGACCTGAAGACAGGTTCATTAGAAAACACCTTGGGGTGATTTTGATGGTATTTATTCCTGAGTCCCCACTCACCCTCAGTGAGCCCAGATGAGGAGGAGGAGAGCAAGAAGGCTGGAATGCAGATCAGAATGGGGACTAAGGAACTGGAGCCCTTAGAGAAGCCAGATAACAGTGGTTCTGTGGGCTTGATACCAGACTGTTATGGTTTCAAATCCTGGGTCTGAATCTGCTGCTCACTAACTGAGGGCCCTTTGGCATGACACGGAACTTACATAAAGCTATTTCCCTGTCTGTACAGCGGGAGAACAGTGCTGCCTCTCAGGCAAGTCTGTGAGGAGGGGGGCTGTCACCACTGATTTTATCTTGCTGTGGGCGGTAGCATTGGAATGCTGATAACTTAGGAGATAGACCCTGTCAAAGTCAAAAAGAGATCTGCGAAGCTGAGTCCTCCCCCCATGGAGTCTCAAAGACTCAGTTGCCATGGAGATTGTGGCTGGTGGCAGGGGAAGTGGATTGGTTATCAAGGAGGGGCCTCTCCCCTTTTCCTGACTCCACCTCCAATGGAGTCAACTCTGGTCTGCACTGGGGTGGCAGGAAGTTGCATGGTAGTACTGGTACTGCCCAGCACAGCCCTCTGGGCTCAGCCCACGTTTTTATTGAGTGTTGACTCTTGGCCTACATAGTGATACAGGATTCCATACTTGCCTACAAAAGGCTAACCTGGAATCCTGGGTGATGACACAGGCCCTTTATATGTGAGGCATTCATCAATTTTCAAAGCACACAAGGATTGTATCTTGCCAGGCCATAGCTCTACTGGGTGAGAAGGAGACATCACAACATTGCCATCATACATGCAGAAAACTTATGAGTTCACTTCCCTTGTCCAAGCTATACAGTCAAGTGTGAAAGAAGGAACCCAGACCGGGGTATGACAAGAAGCTATATTTGTCACTAGCTAATGATCTTGGACAAGTTGCTTAAGCTCTGAGCCTCCCCGACAAAACAGGACTTCTATTATTAATGACAGAGTCATCATTACAGTGTGCTTATGGTGTGTTTAGCACTGCCAAGCATGGGTCCCATGTATTCTTAGAACAGCTTTTGTCCTACTAACTCTTATACTGATTTTTCAGAAGATGGAATGGGAGTTAGGCAGCAAGCAGCTTTCCCATAGTCACATGCTGACAAGCACTGTGCATGAGAACCCACGTCTGCTTGATTCCAAAAGTTATAGCAAAGTCCTCTCCCATTTACACAAAACTAGTTCTACAGAAGACGCCTACGCCTGGAGACCCTGGCTGTCCCTCTGGATTTGTGTAGTAAGCACAGTCCTCCTTTGGGGGAATTTCTCATGTTCTTTTTCCT